CCTTTAAGCGGCGGGCTCCAGCAGGAAAAGCTGGAGGCCGGAAAAGAGTGAGACAGGTAGCGCGCAAGAGTAAAAGTGGAACCGAGAGTGGTACGAGAGACAGAACGAGAGCAAGACAGACAGACATTACGAGAGCGAGACAGTTTGTGCAAAGGTGTTAAACGTGCGCTGGGAGTTGAAAGTTGAAAAGTTTGTGTGTCTGAAACGCTATGTGATACAGTACAGTTTACACAGCACAGTACATGTTCTGTAGCTACTATTGCACTAAATGGTAACACTTGAATACGTTATGCAAATATGCAACTTGTTTGTTGAAATGTTAATAAATGGGAGCTTCCTCAAACAGCCATCTCTTTCCCGACAATCCCCTCTGTGCACGAACCCTTACATATGGTAATTAAACATTAAAACACCTGCGGCTTATAGTCCAGTGCGGTTTATATATGTACACATCATTCAATTTAGCTGCTGCGGCTTATATTCAGGTGCGCCTTATAGTCCGAAAATTACGGTAGATAAGAGGAATACAAAAAACCAACATAGGGTTTGTCAAATATGATTGACATAGTGCTCATGCAGGATTTTGGGATGTGTGTTTTCCTGACTAGGGTAATCCATTCTCCACATGGGGAATTGCAAGTTGACAGAGGGTCTTTTGACAGCATATGAGATTATCTACAGGCCATGAGTAGAGTAGGGTTTGAGCGTGGTCTGACAGAGATGTGTGTGTCTGACTTAGGAAAGATAGAAGCAGTACACAGATGGAGAGAGGTGAGGAGGGGATAGAAGATGCTCTCAGAGGCCAGTGTGTGCTGTTTACCCTGGGGGGGTCGGCCTGCAGGGCAGCCAGGTAGTTCTCCAGGGCCAGACGGCGCCGGTCGTTCAGCATGGCCTCCACCCGGGCCAGATGAGTCTCCACCAGCTGCTGCTTCTCGCTGGCTGCCTCCTCCTCCAGGGACTCCACCATGGCTTGGAAGTGCTACAAACATAAACTAATGTTTATATGCAACAGCACGGCACAGCTCCTTCAACCTCTCAGTTACACTCCTGTCGCCTCTCAGGCTTGACTCATTTAGAAGTCTCCCCATCCAGACAGTGCCCTAATTTAGCCTCAGTGATAAGGATAGAGCAGTCAGGGAAAACAGATATTTAATGGCACGGGGAGTGAGGGACCCGAGGCAGTAAGCCATCATATCTCACCCAAACAAGGAGACAAAGGGGGGACTCCCCGGGGGACGGATCAGCGACTTACCTGAATCAATGTCTGCCGCTCAGCCTTGGGCAGGTTCTTAGCCTGACGATCAGCTTCCTCCCACTCTTTCCTCACCTGCAGGGAGAGAAACGGAAATGAAGAGAAATGTAAGACAGTCAGTCGAAGCGAGTCAAACAGCAGTTCTTTACACTTCGACTCAATCCAATGCACAAAGGTAAATTATCCTTGAAGTATGACTTTGCTTCTTTTTGGCATTTTATTTTTGAACATTCAGAAATACCAACATTCACAATCATCATTTTTAGGATCTGCAACCCATTTGTACGTCCTCTCAGCTGAACCCCAACAACTTCTATTGAATTTGTTTTCAAGTCCAGAAAAGTGCAAAGTGATCTCCAATTATTATTGGGGTCAAAATATTTGTATATTCTTTTGGCCCACTACAGTATACTCATTGGTTGAAACTGGGTTGGTATTCCAATAGTGATAACCTGAGATGAATGTTCTGTTTACATTTTCTGGAACTCCTCTTTTGTTTACCTCATTTTGTAATACTTCTATTGGCTAGCACTGCAACACATTGTACATGATAGGCTAAGGGGCGGGACATCTCTAAGCAGTTGACCAATCACAACAGAGCCATCCAGCTGACCAATCAGAGCAGACTGGGTTCTGGTTTCAGACAGAGGGTGAGTAGAAATATTAACATAATCATACCTCTTTCAGGCAACATTTTGCACTTGATTCTAAAAAAATAAACTCCTCCTTTTTTAAATCTGCACATATTTTGAAGCTAAGTTTCCAGTTTATTTTACCAATGACGTCGGATTTTTTATGTTCTTATTAATTTGTCTGGTTAAACTAATGTACAGCATTTCATTTTAATTGTAGTAAAAAACAAACACATACATTCTGAAATATAGAGAAGTCTTTTGGAAGTTTGTAAATTATTTTCAGGTAAAAATAGTACTAATTCCTATTTAATAAGCAGTGTTGTGTCCTGACTGGACCTGGTAACTCACCCTCTCCATGCGGTTGCGGTGCCTGATCTCCAGCTGCTCCTTGGCCCTCTGGAAGCGACTGTGCTCCTTGTCGTCAGCGGGGGTCTCAAAGTAGATGTCCACATCATCAGTGGGCTGAGGGGTTGGTGACATGGCTGCAAATTCAGAAACAAAAGGTGAGTGGACGATGCTGCAAACTGACAACCAGGCGAACAGACAGATAGACGAGGCGGACAACGTTAGCCAGAGAGACAAAGACTGACAGGGAACTGGACACAGAGCGAGATCGAGCTGAAAGGCGGATTGAAGCTGGACCAAAACCCTCACAGAAGCACTCCTCTCATTGCCGTTCCTCCACCCTCAGTAACTCTGATAAATTTAACAGAATCTGACAGTCTTTCCTTTCCAATTCCTTTCATTTTCCCATCGGCTTTCTGCTGACAAGTCGCGTCTCCAACACTAATGGAAATGTCTCTGCGTTTGACGGCTGGGTCATCTGGGGTGAGGCCAGAGAGCTCCGTTCTGGCGTTCCTCGGTTTACAGTCACGCAGGACTCACTCCCTCGCAAAAACAATAACGCTCCAAGCTCGCAAACCGGAAGAGACCTCATCGTCAAGAACAGGAGGAGGTTAACGCATTGTTCCTGCTTTGAACTTTGCTGCTTCAGCTCTTAAAATCTTTTTTATTTAGCAAAATGTCAAAGAAAAAGCCAATTGGTTATGATGACCATGGACTGCGTTTGAACTGATGAAATGTGAGTCATTCTAAGGTGCAAAAAATATGCTTGCTGATATACGCTGGTGAGGTTCGGGCAAAATGAGTGGCAGTGCTCTGTGAGAGACAGACAGGCAGCCAGACAGACAGGCAGGCAGACAGACAGGCAGGCAGACAGACAGGCAGCCAGACAGGCAGGCAGGCAGACAGGCAGCCAGACAGACAGGCAGGCAGGCAGACAGGCAGGCAGACAGGCAGACAGACAGACAGAAACATGAACAAATGGCGGGAGTAAACACTGACATGCAAACAAAGAAGAAAAAAAACTCAAGTGTGTTGGAAGATGCATACATATAACTAAACACTATATAAAGGAAAAATAGGAATGTTGTGTATATTTTATTTGGTATCTTTGGGAAATTATCTTTGTTTTTTGTATACCAATCAAAAATGTATTCGTCTTGGCTTTTTAAGGACAGTTGATTGTTTTATTATTTAGTATTGGTTCCAATACAAAAATGTTGGTACCAAAACTCACTAATTTTGTTGTATATCTTTGAGTAAAATACTACAAAAGTCCTTCCTGAATTTAAGAAACAAAGCTAAATGTCTTACATTCTGAACATTGTCCAAACACAAGACATTGGCCTAAAGAACAGCCAGACCAAACAAGGCAGAATTATGATTTAAATCAAGAGATCTAAATAAATAATAAGTAGAGCAGATTATGAATTTGAGCAAGAATTTCATAAAACACTGGAATGTTCCAACTGTCCCTCAAATATAGGTATGTTCCATCCATCCATCCATCTTCTCCTGCTTATCCGTGGTCGGGTCGCGGAGGTGCCGCGAGGTGCAGCAGCCATGCATAACACCATGCATAACACGGCGCATGTGAACTGTCCCCCCCCCCGCTGCTCCGATTCTCCGACCCATCTCACGCTCCTTTGTTCCCTCACTCGAGAACAAGACCCCGAGATACTTGAACTCCTTCACTTGGGGTAAGGACTCATTCCCTACTTGGAGTGGACAGTCCATCGGTTTCCTGCTGAGAACCATGGCCTCAGATTTGGAGGAGCTGATCCTCATCCCAGCCGCTTCACACTCNACTCCCTAGGAGTTGAATTAACACTTCTGAATTTGCTGTGTACTTGAAGTCAAAAATGTTTAAATCTCAGCTAAAAACTCACCTCTTTGCACTGGCTTTTAAAACTAGTTGAACATAAAATGTTTACATTTGTATGTGTTTTTATATGTTTCTAGTCATTGTGCTTTTTATCATGTTTTTAATTATTTTTTAATTATTTTACTCCCATTGTGTTGTTTTTATATTGTGTGTATTCCCGCTACAACACTTCGATCAACTGAGGTTGTTTTTAAATGTGCTATATAAATAAATAAAGATTGAGATTGAGAACACTTATTTTCCTGTTTACTTGATCGCTGCATTGAGCTCTGCGCAGCTTCTTTTACATTAGGGGCTGATTTGGTTGCTTGACGAGGCTGTCGCTTAGCAACAACAACAACCATGTGTGGTTATTTTTGTGTGAAGATGATGCTGTTATCTATTTTATTTTATTTTTTTAATTGAATTTGCATACACAACTCTTTTCCTGCCTTGTCAACAACATTTTTGGATGAGGACCTGATTTGGGGGAGAGTTTCCTTACAGAGGCTCTAATTTGCTTTTTGTGTTTTTCCCTTCCCGTGTGATATAGTTTTGTGTATGTAAATCAGGGGTGTCAATCTCAAGGTCCGGGGGCCAAATCCGGCCCGTGACTTCGTTTGATGTGGCCCCACAAGAGCTCTGAAAGAATATAATATGTTTATTATACGGTTACAGGCCGATTCACAGAAGCAGGTTACTCATAAACTACATGTCCCACAATGCATCTCAAATTTCACTTTTTTCTCAGAATTTTCAAAATGTTACTTTTTTTTAATTTTGACTGTTTTTCCAGAATTTTGCTTTTCTTTTTAAATCATTTTGTGACATTCTCAGTGAAGAGTCTTGCAATTATTTGCCCTAGACTTCTGCTTTCAGACGCAGTTAATTATGAAGTTATTACCCTATCCGATAATGATCCAATGCAGAGGCAATAATGTAATATAGTACATTATTTTATATATATTAAATATTTATATATGTATTTTTATATAGTCTTAAAGTTACAACCATAATGCTGATGTGGCCTGCGATGAAATTGAGTTTGACACCCCTGATGTAAATGGTCTGCAAAGGCTAAAATCCCTGTGTTCCCTCCATTGGACTCCTTTGTTAACTTCCGGAACATAGTGACATCTTTATGTTACACTCGCTCTTCTATTGGCCATCACTTGCACACATTGTACGTGATAGGCTAAGGGGCGGGACATCTCTAAGCAGTTGACCAATCACAGCAGAGCCGGCCAGCTGACCAATCAGAGCAGACTGGGCTCTGGTTTCAGAAAGAGGGTGAAAAGAGGTGCTGCAGCACAGACAGTATGAGAAAAATAAAGAGCTTTTTGAACATTAATGTATGAAGAAATGTCCAAGTAGAGACACTTAATACTGATATACACCTGAACATCAGCAGGAGAGGACTCTTTAAAGTAGAGACACTACATACTGATATACACCTGAACATCAGCAGGAGAGGACTCTTTAAAGTAGAGACACTACATACTGATATACACCTGAACATCAGCAGGAGAGGACTCTTTAAAGTAGAGACACTACATACTGATATACACCTGAACATCAGCAGGAGAGGACTCTTTAAAGTAGAGACACTACATACTGATATACACCTGAACATCAGCATGCCTTTAT